CAGTCATGCGTCCAGATCTTCCACCACACCAGCTCCCGCAGCGCCTGCTCGTCGTGAGACAAGTCAGGCCCCAAAGGGTAGAGGCAAAGTTAGACGAGACGGAAAACCGTCAGCCAAAGCGAAGGCCTTGTGTCCGGCGGAGTTGAAGGAGTACAAGCAGGTGGATGATCAAGGGCGACCAATATGTTGGTCATACAATTTGAAAGGAGGGTGCAAAGAGCCAGTTATGGATGGCCGTTGCAAGAAGGGTGCGCATATTTGCATCAAGTGCAAGAGATCCAATCATGGCTTGGCCACTTGCCGGGCGACCTCCTGAAAAAACGGTTTCACAGAAGCAGCACAGCGTGTCACTTTCAAATGGTTTTTCTTTGGATAATGGTTCAGTGGAAGGCCAGTCGCACAGGCGGCATACCGAAGGTATCATGGCAAATGATTTTAATTTGCACCAGGCCAAGAAAAACTCAAGGCCTTGCAGGCACAACATGCAGCAGATGATAACCTCCCAGTGTCACCAGAGGTGCACTTGGAGGCACAAGAGCAGTCAAACAAATTTGCAGGGAAATCATTGTCCAACATACTCATGGTTGAGTTGTATGCAGGGTCGGCACGGCTGTCGAAGGCATGTCAGCAGATTGGTGTGCCAAAGCCTTGCAGATCTGAACAGTTTCCCTTAGGCATACCTGGCTTGGAGGGTCTTGACAAGGCGGGCACAGAGGCGGCAAACCTTCTTTACAAGGTCACTGCAGTGTTGGTCCGCGAAGTTTCAGCTTGGGGTGTGGTTTGTACAATGAGAATCCGGCAAACAGCCTTTCTGGAAGGTTCCCTATATTGTTGATTTGGTGGAAGACCTCGGTGGGTATGATGTTATTTTTTGACAGCTGTTGTCATGGAGGTGCGAGGAAGAAAAGTACAAAATTCTGGTGCACTGATGTCTGGTTCAATAGCCTGGCAGCGGCATGCCCCGGCAATGGACAGCATTTTCATAAGTCATGGACACCTACAGTAGTGGATGGCAGAGTTCAGTACCCTACGGCTGAGGAGGTGGCCTATCCTGAACTCCTTTGCCAACGCTTAGCCGAGAGATTTAGGGATGCCTTGTTGCGTTTGGGTGCAATTGACGTTGAAACCATGGAGCAACCACAACAGGTTGAACAAGCCTCAATGCACAGGATCCTCATGGACGCTTTGCCGGGGGGAAAGAACTACAAACCCTTGGTGTCGGAATATGGCAGTTATACAACAGTGGTTCACTCAGATAGCGTGGACGAAAAATGCTTTCCAGTTGCCACTGGGTGCTAAATTGGTACATCAACATTTGTCCAAAAGGGGTGATATTCGGGTTGATGATGTGGTCTGGCACTCGTCTGTGCCACATTTGGATGCGGATGTTACTGTCAAGGTGTCATATTCGGGTTGATGATGTGGTCTGGCACTCGTCTGTGCCACATTTGGATGCGGATGTTACTGTCAAGGTGTCACAGTTTGGCATCCCCAGGACCCCTGAAGTTTTTTGCAGAAGGGATGTCAAATGTGGACATCCGAGGGGCATGTCGATGCACTTGCCTGAAGTGGTAACTGATGTGCTCAGGGAGAATTTGGAGATGGAGCCGGCGGAGCTTGCACTTATACGGTGCAGACAGCTTGCAAGGTGGACAGTCAGGGCGGGACAGTTAAAATTTGCGGAGAAGGAATTCAAACAGTCCTTGCCTGAGCACTTGCAGGTGGTGTTAAAGGACAAGAAGCTATTGTTGCTGCAGGAGATGTTGGAGGAGTTACAATATCCTGATAAGACTTTGGTGCAGGACATAGCGTCTGGTTCAGGCTGATGGGGTGGCAGCAAAAAACGGGTGTTTTTCCACAGTGTGTGAAACGGCCTCAGTTTTCTGTTGAGACTCTCCGGAAGTTGTCCCGGGGTTTGACAGGTCGATAGTGAGTCAACTATCTGGTGAAAAATGATGATGGTCCAACGGTACGGCAGACTTGGGAGAAAACATTGGAGGAGGTTTCATTGGGTTATATCTGGCCTGATGAATCCAGGGATTTGGATCGCGTTTTTCTGGCAAAGCGTTTTGGTTTACAACAGAAGGCCGGAAAACTGAGAGTAATTGATGACTGTTCTATAGGAGGCATCAATGGGGCCTTGGGTGTGTTTGAGAAATACAAGGTTCACGCCATAGATGAGACTGCAGCGTTTCTGACGTGGATGGTACAACAGTTGCAGGGCAAGCCGCACTTTGAAGGGTTATCTGGCGGGACGTATGACGTGAAGCATGCGTATAAGCAATTTGGTATTGCAGTGGACGACCGTGAACTTGTACGGTTGGCGGTGAGGAATCCTATCGACCACAAGGTCAGCCTGTTTGGAGTTAATAGTTTGCCTTTTGGGGCATCTGGATCGGTGGGGTTTTTAAGAATCAGCCTCGCCGTTTGGTATGTGGGCCTATTTGTTTTTCGGCTACCATGGACAGCATACTTTTATGATTACACAATTTTTAGCCGAGACTTGTTGGTGAGCAACGCGTCGAAGACAGTGGACAATTTGTTTGACTTGCTTGGAATAGAAGTAGCCCGTGAAGGGAGCAAAGCTTTGGGTTTCCGAAGCAGTTTAAGAGTTTGGGGGTCGAAATAGACGAGAGATTTTTTGCAAGGGCGAAGCTCAATTGGGACACACCCGTGAGAGACGTGAAGAGATTGGTGCCGTGTTGGATGATATACTCCATTCCTCGAGTGTTACTACAAAACAGGCAGAATCACTTAGGGGCAGACTGCACTGGTTTGAGTCTTTTGCTTTTGGTCGTGTGGCCAAGGGGGCGGTGAAGACTTTGGGTGACTTGTCTTTGCGAAGGACAAAGAAGGTACAACGCAGAGATCATGAAGTCAGGGATCTTCGGTTTCTTAAGGAAAGAGTTTTGCAGGCGCCTCCTTTGAAGTTGACCCCCACATCCTTGCTCGCTTGGATAGTGTTCACAGATGGAGCCTGTGAAGGACCCGCAGGAGCTAAGAACGGCAGTGTGGGGGGGCGTGCTTGTTAGCCCTCATGGCAGTGTGCTGCAGTTTTTGGTGGGGAGATCCCATGTGACTTTATGGCCCAGCTCTTGCTCCGGTCTAGGAATCCAATATATGAGTTGGAGGTCATGCCGGTTCTCATAGCTGCTTTGCTGTGGGGCAATACCTGTGAATTTGCGCAGGTTTGCTGGTCTTAGACAATGAGGCTGGAAGATCGGCCTTTTTGAAGGCCTATGGGGCAACAGAAATTGCCGTGTGATGGTGAGAGACTTCACCTATCACGAGATGGAACTTCAGATCAAATCTTGGTTCGCAAGGGTGCCAAGCGCATCAAATTTAGTTGATGCCCCGTCGCGTCTTGAAGACTCATACTTGAGAGATCAAGGGGCGTGCAAAGTGGCCATTGACTGGATGGCAATCAGGGAGACGTTGGCAGCTGTTTTCCAGAAATGGGGGAAGGCACGGCAGCAGACCTAGACGTCTCCCCATTGCCGAGAAAAAAGTGTGGATGCTCTGTTCATTGATCTGAAGAAGCCATCTCAGTTTTGCAGTGCGTTTGTTTTGAACTTTTTGGAGAGCAGTTAATTTTTGAAGAGAGAAGTTGTGGATGAAAAGAAATTGAGGAAAAGGAATTGTTTGAGGAAATGTTTTGTAGCGAAAGGGTTCACGCGAACGTATGATATTAACGGTCGTATAAATATATGACTGTTGATATATAACCCGCGGTTCTCACATTAGGACTAAATAAGTTATTACTCTTTGGAACAAAGATCATAACCTTATTTGGCCGTTGTGAGAAAAGACTTTTGTTGTGCAAAAGTCTTAGCGGGTTTATGGTGAATACGTTGTGAACCAAATCCAAACGCCTTGGAGTGACAATGCATTTCCTCTTGGTTTTCCTTTATTTTTGGTTTCCTCCCTCTTCTCTCAAACTGAAACGGAAAAACAACACGGAAACGAAAACAACACGTGTGAATCTTGTGGAAGATGTGGCACATGTCAGTTTGTTTTTCGTGAAGTTTTGTCTCAGATCAGCATGGGTTTTCATTTACCCACCCACCGCCCAATGCAGTTTCATGTCAATTTGATGTCTGAAATGACTGAATTTCCACCTGATGGTGTTGCTGATTGTGGCACGCGTGGTCAGGGTACTTTGCAGACGGACGGTCTGTCAACTTCCATTTGATCCTGACAGAGCCCGCACTTTCGTGACAGTGCCTTTGCTGATATCCGTTTTTCATATCTGCCGATACCAATGGTCTGAACGTGGCGTTTTTGTGTACCTCACCTTTCAAGAGCAGACACAAGTGGCATTGGTGAATTGGTCAGCGTGGAATGAGACTTCAGAACGCAGATCCGATGATCTTTTCAATTTGTCTCCGGCAGCGCGAAATCATGCTGGAATGGTACATTATCAAATAGCCTAGCCCACCGTTCAGGCACGGCAGCAGACCTAGACGTCTCCCCATTGCCGAGAAAAAAGTGTGGATGCTCTGTTCATTGATCTGAAGAAGCCATCTCAGTTTTGCAGTGCGTTTGTTTTGAACTTTTTGGAGAGCAGTTAATTTTTGAAGAGAGAAGTTGTGGATGAAAAGAAATTGAGGAAAAGGAATTGTTTGAGGAAATGTTTTGTAGCGAAAGGGTTCACGCGAACGTATGATATTAACGGTCGTATAAATATATGACTGTTGATATATAACCCGCGGTTCTCACATTAGGACTAAATAAGCCTCAAACGAGGACACCCAAGGTGACCCCTCAGTGATGACGCCTACGTGGGATTGCACTCATGGCCGTTTTTGTGTCTCCAGTCCCTGCGCAACCATCTTGGTGATGCGGAGTTGAGGAACCATTGTCAGGGCTTCTTGCAGCGTGGGTGCATTGTCACATCGAGTTTTTCTGGGGTTGGGACCGGTGAGTTGGCAATACGGGCAGTTTTTGAAGTCTTGGATTCAAGAGTTGGCAGCAGCATTTCCACTTCCAAGCCTCCTTACATGTGGGCTGCATGTGATTCCAATGCTGATTGCCGAGATGTGCTGCACAAGCATGATCCGAAAACCAAGTCGGCCCATGTCTTTGGTGACCTGTGCGAAGCTCTGCCTGCTTCCTGGGTGTCTGCCTTCAAACAAGAGTTGGCCCAAAGGCGTGCAAGGGTGGATGCGGCTGAAGACGCTGCAGAGAGGCGTGAGGTGCTCTCCTCTCAATCCAAAGCCTTTCTTGAAAGAGCAATGCAGCTTCTGAAAGACAATCCTTTCCCAGCTGCTCGGAGATGCTGGTGTCACAAATGCCAGCGCCAATGCCGTAGATTCCCGTGGATGTCTGGGGATGCACTGAACATGCTCCTTCTTGAAGTGGCTGGCTCAATTTGCGTTGGCTTTTCTCCAATGGGCAAAATGTACCAGTTCCTGGATGACAGCGTCATTCCATTCCTTGCATGGGTATGGATGATGAGGTCAGTTCAACCCCATGTGATCTGCCATGAATGTGTGCCTAAATTTGACCCTGAAGTGTTGGACTGGTGCTTGAATTACGGTTTTGAGGAGCCGCAGTATCAGTTGGAAAGCTTGGTGTTTAATGCCAGGGACCTAGGCATTCCGGTTGAGAGATTGCGCAGATACACACTGTGCTTTCGTATCGAGCAGACCTTGAATCATGATACCGGCTTTAGTGATGGCACTTTTGGCACTGTCGCTTTCCGTGAGCTGTCAACCACTGGCAACGTGTTCTTTTGCGCTGATGAGCAGCTTTTGGCAGCTGAACGTCAAGCTATGGCGGCACGTATGTTCTTACCACCACAAGATTCATCTGGCAACCCATGGCCATGGACGGCCTTACTTAGTGAAGGCGAGTACCAACGCTTGAAGAAATACAAGAGACTATGGCTCAATGCAGAACTTGGTGAGTCCTCCGGGCAAGACTTTGTGTTTGTAAGCCTCAGTCAGAATGCGCAATTTGTAGGAGACCATTTTGTGAGCAGCACCACCATTCCAACATTGATTCGGAACACAATTTTGTTCCGCTTGACCGCAGACTCAGCTTCCACCACCTTGCCCTCCAGGCTTGCCATACCTGTGGAGCTCTTGGCGATGCAGATGTTGCCGGTTCTGTTGCCAGAGGGGCATTTTTTCCATGGGCTAGTTGCTTTTGAAGAAATGTTTCAAAACCGCCGTTTGAGTCTCAATTCGATGAGGTCTTTAGCAGGGAATGGCATGAATTTTGCTGCAGTTGGCTCTGTTCTTTTGTGGCTTTTCACAACCACTACTTTTCACCCTCAGCCGCAGCCCCAGATTGGGCCTTGAAGCTTGAAAAAAGGCAGTTGACATGCATGAGAAACTTCCACGCGAAAGTTGCCTTTGAGACTTTGGTGATTGTGTGGAGTTGTTTCAGCGTGCAGGTGGTGGCCTGGCTGCAGCGTCGATTGTCATGCGACCCAACGATGAGAAAACAGAAACAACAGATGTTGCAGCAGCATATCAGCATGACTGTCTTGCCCATGGTCAGCTTATGGTTGCTGTGCATGTGGTCCACCATCCAATTGGGTCAGACTGGAACCATGATGTGGTCATGTGAGCGCAAGCTGGTCGCAGAGTGGTCGTGGGGTGGTCGTGGGGTGGTCGTGGGGTGACACATAGCGAGATGTAATTAATGCATATTTTGTCGTTCATTCAACTTTTTATCCAAGTCACTGGACACCTCGCCGCTCTCAAGCCAGTTGGGTGTTTTTTTGTGCCTTTGACAGGTGAGAAGTTAGCTAGAGTGACTGAGCCTTAGGCTTCAGAGCGGCATGTTGGATGATGGCATGGACGTTGACTTGTTTGGCAGCTCCCCTGTAGTAGATGTTGACAATCAGACAAAGGAGGGTGAGCCAGCAGCCAAGAGGCGACGCGACACCCCAAGTGAAGCCGCACCAAAGAGCGCCAGTACCAAGACTGAACGCGCACTGGGAGTGAAGAAGGCAACCAGAAAGCAGACTAGACAATGTCGAGGGTGCTCTTTGTGGTTTGCTCCCGAGAACATGGCGTCAGGCAGCAACTTTGATGTGACTTGCAAGTACAGGGTTGATGGTGTGTACAAGATCGCGAAGTCTCAGAAGCGCCTGGAATGGTACAAGGAGGTCATGGCCAATGACGTGTCCTTGCAGATGGTGCTTGCTGAGTATGCTGCCCGCACAACTCCAGACAGCAGTGGCAGGAAGAACCAGACGAGGCGTTCATCCACCTTCACTGTTTTGGAGTCAGTTGCTGCCAAGAGTGCCGTTGTCTACGAAAATTTGGGAAAGATGATGTATGAGCGCCAGTACCTGGCCTTTGCTGACACGTTCGACGGCGGCAAGTTGACCGAGGTGCAGGCCAAGCAGCAGTGGCTGACTTGGAAAGAACAAGCCCATGAACCCAACAGCACCTGGCCAGCCAAGGACAACAAGGGGCCAAACGGCGAGCTCCGTCTCTGGGTTCCAACGGAGGATATCATCAAGTTTGCCAACTCCATCGAGCGGGAAAAGGCACTTACCACCAAAGGAAAGGATGTCAAAAACCCGACTGAGGAGGAAGTTGGAAAGTTGCAGAAGAGCATTCTCATGGGCCATGATCAGTTGTCCACTGGCTTTGAGGAGCATGCAGGTCAAATGGCGCAGTTTTCACGAGGTGATGCTTTCCAAGCCAACAACTATGATGTTGGCGATGTCACCCACCTTCTGGTGCCTGAGAAGGAGAGCCAAGCTGAGGGTTCTGAACCTGCTGATGAGTGCAAGGAAGAGATGGAGGACACGGGCGAACAGGACGAAGGCAAGAAGTCGAAGGCCAAGTGGTTCGATTATGAACTTTGTTTGCAAGTCAGGTCTGGGGGCTGGGGTTTTGGGGGGTTTTAGAGATTTATTTCAGTCCCCTAAGTGCTTTGAGTGCTTTGGCCAGTGACTGGCAACACCTTTTCCCAATCTTTTCTGTCATTGCTTTTGGTGAGAGTGAGGACCGGAAAGTGAGCAAGGCGCAGTCCAAGTTCAAGTCGCAGCAGCTGCGATTTCGTCAGGATCTTGAGTGGCATGAACAGCAGGCCAAAGACGTCGTTGCCCAAGTGAACTGCATGGACCCTGAGAAGAAAGAGACTCTCCTCAATGCTTTAGCTATTTGCGAGAATCGGTTGGAGGCTTTGTCCGTGGTGCTGGGAAATGATGCTGAACAACTCAAGCAGTACATTGCCAAGGTGAAGGCCGGTTCGGCGCCAGGTTCAAGCCTGGCCAAGGTGCCAAATGCTTCATCTGTTGCTGGCCGACAAGTGTTGGGCCATGCCCCTCCAAGTGCCAGTTTCTGTGACTTGGTGATTGTGAATGAAGTTGACATCATTGCCCAGGAGTTCACAGAAGCTGAGTCGGATGGTTGCATCAAAGCAACCTTCGACAAGATCACCGCTGCCAGAGCCCCCATCAAGGAACTGGCTTCTTCAGTTCACTCCCAAGTGAAAGAGTTGACCAAGCTGAAGGATGCAGCTGAGAAGCCCGCAGAGCAGAAAGGCAAAGGGAAGAAAGGTGGTGGGAAGGCAGCGGGTAAAGGGAAAGCAGGAAAAGGGAAAGACAAAGGCATTGCGGGGGCTAGCATTGCGAAGCCCAACTTTGACCTCATGACCGTGTTTGGCCCTGAGATTGCCCGGGAACTTCCATGGACTGCAAGTGGTGCAGCCCCTGCCGACCAGAAGGACTTGGACATGAGCCGCCCAGTGATCCTTCGCTTGCCTGAGCTTGCCAAGCTGCAGGAGCAAGAGCCGAAGAGTATGATTCAGAATTTCTTGGCCGATTTCAACAAAAGCGTGCCTTGTCAGCGTTCAGTTGTTGAATGGTGTTGAAAAGGTTTGTTGCCAGGCATTCATTCTCAATGGTTTCGTATAGGGGGCTGCGGCTCCTGCAGACTCCTGCATGGTAAAATCAGATTCTTTGGGAGTTGGCGTCACTGTTGTGATTTTGATTTTGATCCCATTCGCAATTTCACCCAGTCTCAAAATCAATGGGTCCATGACCATTCCATAATGGTTGTCTAGTACCATAATGTGTCATTCATCCATGTTCTTTCTGCATCATCCTCGTCCCTCTTGATTATTTATTTTTCAATGCTATCATATTCTCTCATGAAATATCGTCGGTTATCGTCATGCTGCTAGGAGATGAAGACGAAGAAGGGGCGAGGTTCACAGAAGTGCCCCAGTGCCAACCCTGCGACCCAAAGCATTTTTGATGCTTTGGAGGCATCAATGGCAAGCTTCCAGGCTGTTTTCCAAGATGAAGATTTGGATGGCACCAACCCTTTGATGACCTTCACATCTGAACCAAACCAGATGCAGCCGGTGGTGGAGCTGAACTACATGGCTTCCATTCGGTACCAGGCTGTTGGCGCCAAGTTTGTTTTGATGGCATCATTCGTGAACCTTGCAGAGTACATGTCAGCCACCGCCAACGTCACGACATCTCCCCTCACTCCGGTCCGAGCAGCTTGCCTCTTGCGGGACATGGACAGAGAGAGCCTCAAGGCCTGTGCAAGCAAATGTGAGGTGTTCTTTGGCCAGATTCGAGAGGGTGAAGCCTTGTATACCCCATTTGGGTTTTGCACGGTTGAGTTCAGCACTGTCGGGTCAACAGGCTTCAGCATTCGAGGAGTCAGCCTTCAAGATGGCAATCTTGGAGACTTCGTTGCAACCTTTTTGAAGCCAAGTTTGAGTGACCCCGCAGCCAAGCCGTCCAAAGCTTTGACTGCTTTGTTGTGCTTTCTAGAGAAGCACCTTGGTGCTGGCATGCAAGAGGCTTTGCAAAACGGTGGTGCCGCAGCTGCAGCGCTAGCAGAAGCAAAGGCGGCAGCTGAGGCTCAGGAGGCTGAGCCTGGAGCAGTGGAAAAGCGGCAGTCTGACACTGGCGCTCCGGCCGAGCCTCAGCAGCAGTCTTCTCAGCCGACAGCCAACGCTTCCTTGCATTGAACTTCTGAGAGAGCATTGGCTGGGATTCGTTTTCCGGTTGGCTTTGCTTGTTGAAAGGCAGGCAATTGAGTTTTGATCTTTGGCCTGGGTGAAAAACATGGTGTGTGACAGCAAGTTGCGTGCATGCTTTCAGGGAAGTTGTCAACCATTAAATAGTTTGCTGATGATTCAAAGGGAATTTGTCCCGCAGATGTTTGTTTCTGTGCATTCATGGTGCCACCAGCTGCTGTGTTCATAATTCAACGTTTGCAAGAGTCGTTGCCTTTCTCACTGTGATTTGCAGCCTCTCCGCCATTTGTTTGTTTGAAGCATTTGAACCTTGAATTCTGTCATCCGTTTCATCGCCTAGCAATGCTGACTTCCTTGGAAACCCACGGTGTCAAACTTTACTTGAAATGTGTCATATATTTTGCCTTCGCAGAGAAGCCGGAAAGCGTGTGGTGTAAGACCAAAGATGATGTGACTCAAATTCTTTCTGTGGGTTTGGATGTTTTCACAAAGCTGGCCAGCAGTGGTGATTGTTGGTTTGCTGGACTGTTGGATACATGGATCAAAATCCAGTCCACTTTTGAACGGCTTGTGGCTGAAAGCGGCAATGCAATGTCACAGAAGACTTTGAAACTTTTTATCGGCAAGGATTCTGTTTCGATGAAGCCTGCAGATCCCAACTATGGACCCGCTTTCGTTGATTCTTGGACCAATGAAATCACACGATCTTTGCAACTCCGCTACAGTGACCAAACAGACAAACTAGAAGAAATGAGTTTGGCGTACCTACGGGCAAACTTGGCATTACGTGGTTTGCCTGAAGTACCTGGCCTGAGTGATTTTGTCACTGCGTTGTGTACCTTGACATTGACATTGTCACAGTTCACCAGTGATCTCGCAGATTTTTTGAATTCCAAGAAGAACAATCTTGACAGTCCTGACATCATGACACATAGGGCAAGGGGTTTAGCTTAGATGAACGGCAGAGACTGCAGCCGCACAGTGCGAAACAAGTTGCCAGAAGGAAGTTGGTGGCTTCATTCAGTTTGGACATGTGGGGCATTCAATTTTGATTCCATTTGTGTTTTTTGGCGCGCGTATGTGCTCTGGTGGTCTTTTTTCCGTAAATTTACGAATATTAGGTTTTTCGTGCCATGGACTGTTTTCTTCGCTTTGCGGCTGGTTGGTGGTTGTTTCCCTGGCCCTTTGCCCTGTCCGTCTTCCTTGCGCTTCCTTTTGTGTCCGGGTCTGCGTTGCTGTCTGGTCGGTCATTGTTGGTCCCTCGCGCTTTCGCCCCTGGCGTTGTTTTCCTGGGTCCCTCTGTGTGGTGGTGTTGTTGTTGTTTGCGCCGCGTGTTTCTTTCCTTTTGGTTTTGTTTTCTTTTTAGGTTTTTTGCCGCTTTTGGCATTTTTCAGCTGCATGGTTTATTTGCGATGTGGCAGTGATTTCAATTGTTCGCGATTCAACTCCAAAAGGGCAAAACAAAACCAAACGTGAAACTGTTCAGTTGTAGTGATGAGCTTTTAGTGCAGACACGCAGGTTTCTGGGGAGAGTTCGGTGGTTCTTTGGTTGGTGGTGGTGGAGGAAGTTTCTTTTACTTCTAGCCCGCCCATACCAGCGCCTTGGCCATCCTGAAGAGATGGGCTTCATCTGATTTGGCAAGCTTTGAAGGTTTTTCAAAAAACAGCCAACCAACTTGAACTCTAGCGAAGACAGTTGGACACCCCTGGTCCCCCAACTTCAATGTTGCGTGAAAGCAGCTTGGCGAAGCCTTCAAAAAAACAGCCATTCTTGCTCCGGCCATTGAGAAGTGATGAGTAGCAACATTGATACAGGGGGCTTGGAGGCTTCCGGTGCATGTTGAAACTTTTTGGTCAATGGCTGATTTTTGTTGAAGAACCCGGATGAATGGGTGATATTTTGGACCAAAAACGTTAATGAGTGAATTGTTTATGCGGTAGCGGAGCTTGTGAGAAGGCAGCCAGCAAATGCCATTCATTTGGCCATTCCAAAATTAAAGTTTTGCGGTCGCCTCACGAATTCTGATGCTATCTTTCTTCAAAGGATTTCTGGCCAGCTTAAATCCATTGTTTTGGTGCCTTGGGGCTGGTGGGCACTTGCTGCTTGGGCATATGTTAGTTTCACAAAATTTCCCAGGATTGGGTGAAACTTAGTGGAATCCAATACTGGGCTGGGCTACGATTGCTACTCGTGCTGTTCCTCCTGCTGAGTTGGCAATTGTTTCTACACGGAGAGTGCGGGCATAATCTTTCTTAAGCACTGAACGGTTCAGGTTATTCTTGTGATCTGTTGCAGTGGTCATCACGAAGAGCCCGTCGGGAAACCCGGCATTCCTGGGGAAGGGGGAGAGCACTTCTGACACGAGCGTTTCTAGGTCTGTCGCTACTAGCCCATTAATTCTAGCATTGGTGTCCCAAAGCACGAACTGGAACCCCGGTGGCCTGTCTGGAAGTCCTCCGGAGGCAAAACTTCCAAGTTCCCACATGTCGTTGATGAGTCTGCAAAGATCAGGGTATCTGACTGCTACTACTGAGTGATATGTCACAGGGCTAACTCTTGAGCTAGACGGGAGCATCAATCCCCAGGCATGGATGTCGCTCACTCCTGCGGTATGGGAGTTTAAAACCGCTTGTATGTCACCGGCCATGGGTAGGAGGGTCGCAGCATGCTGCAAAATCCAGGCAAGGCGTACGAGAAAAACATCCACACTACCAGGCCATACCAGAGGGTGAGTGAAGCAACAAAAGCACCATGCGGAACCAGGGATCCCCCAGCCAGGATCCCCGAGATCACATGGCGCCTTTCCTATCGAAGCTGTTTCTACTCCCTGTAGCAGTCTTGCGCTGGTTCTCTCCAGCTGTGAGGTGTCCAGGCAGGGCACAGATGTTTTTCTTCGTGAACAAGTTTTGCGTTGGGATAGAGACCAAAAGTGAAGCTCTTTGATTTTTTTCTTAGAAGATGCCTCGACTTCCAATGGAGGTGGATCGAGTTTATCACGGTGGCATCTCAAAACGAAAGAAGGGAAAAAAGGAAAGCCTTCCAACTCAAGGGAGACCAGAAAGACAAAGTGAAAGGTAAAGGCAAAACAAAAGATGGAAGTCCCGTCAGAAGGGCAAGCAATGAAAAGTGACTACAAGGGCAAGTGCAGCGGGAAAAGAAGTGAGTCAGGGCAAGTCTGCAAAGGAGATATGACTGTCACAAGTGCGGCAAGGTCGGGCATTTTTGCTTCTGACTGTTGGCCCCAATTCTGTGCGCAATGTTCAGGTAGAAAGATCACAGCCAATGCAGGCCAAGTCCAACAACAACCGTGGTTGCAAGTTCACAGATGTCAGCAGTTTCCCAGCAAGGACGTGTCGCAAGAATTCAGTTTTCAGATGTCACGCAATTTTCAGATGTTCCAAGGGATGATGATTTTGTGTTTGACATGGGATGTCCTAGCAGTGAAGCCTGTGCGCGGTGAGATTCTATATCGGTGATGAGCCCAATGCCTCAGACTCTAGCAGTGAGCCTTGCAATGTTGTGAGAACGGTGATTGAATATGTTCCTGAAGAGTGTGATATGCAATAGCATTTTACTTGATTGAGGGGCTGATGCATCAATTTTCCCAGCGTCGATGTCAGAATTGACATTGAGGTTGTTTTTTTTGGCCCGAGCCCGTTGCCTTTCGGCGGGTCTACGGTACTTGAGACTTACTCGTCTACCACGTCACGATCGCGGCCCCGTACCCGGGGGGAATCGATCCGCGGCTAGTTGTCTATGCACGGTCCTGAGACGAGCATTATACCACTACGCGACGAGATCGCCTAGGTGTTGACATTGAGGTTGATGGACAAGGTGATGAAGGTCAACAGGTTCCACATGGGCATTTGGTTTTGGCACCAGGACGTGGCGATCACTTAAATGTCAATGGGGTTGAGTTATTCAAAGATTCTGCGCTGGCAACTTTGAGACAGGGATGTGCCTTTTATGGTTTGTCACAGACAGGGGCCAAAGAACGTTGTTTCAAGCGGCTTTGGGAACATCAAAAGAAGTTGGAGCTGCAGACAGCACTCACTGCAGGACGTGAAACTGAAGCTGAGCAACAGCGTTTGCCCAATCCTCAGCCTCTTGCAGAGCCTCCAGATGACAGAGCCATAGCCTTGCCCATGCTGACACACCTGCCATTTGCAGATTGGTGTGCTGATTGCATACCCCATAGAAGCCGTCCAGACCGCCACAAGAGGGATGGATCAGTGAAAGACTCAGGCATTCCAACAGTTTCGTTTGATTTTGCCCACACCAAAGCTGTGGAGCCAGGTGGAAACGTTGCCAAGACTGATACAGTCATTGCCCTCATCCTTGCAGACTCTTCTACAAACTACACTGGTTGCGTGTCAATACGTGGAAAGAATGACTTTGATGTGATGGTGAGGGAAATCATTCAGTTCACTCATGTTCTTGGCCACTCAGAATGCACCTACTTTGCGACAATGAGCCTCCAATCAAAGAAGTTCAGAAAAGAGCCGTCAGAGCCCGCAAATCCATGGGACTTGCCACGTATGACAAAACGCCAGCTGCATATACACATGGGAACAGCTTGTGTAAAAACACTGCAGGTCCTGTCAGAGGACTTGCAGGAACCCTCATGCACCATGTTCAAGAAAAGTTGTCGATGAAGTTGAATACAAACCATGTTTTGTGGAGCTGGGCCCTCAGACATGCAAGTTGGTTGTTGGATAGGTTTGCAGTGGTGAACGGCAGTACCCCGTTTGAGCTTGTTTACCAGAAGGTCTACAAAGGCCGTATGACGGAGTTTGCAGAGCCAGCGTTTGCATACACCCATACAGCACTGAAAGGGAAGCCAAAGTGGCAGCGTGTGATTGTCTTGGGGAAAACAGAGTCCCAAGATACATATGTGGTTTTCACTGGAACTGCAGTCATGCTCACGCGCTCAGTGCGCAGAGTTTCAACAGACTGGAAGTGCCACTTAGGGTTTTACCTTCACTTCAATGCACCAACATGGAAGTTCAAGACTGGTTTTGGTGGCAGAGTTGTGCCAAAAAAGAGAGCTGTTGAAGGTATTTCCGCAAGTTTC